TAAACTATTTCGTAATATCAGCCATTAATATTTGAAATCATAAAAAAATTACACTGAAATCAAGATTAAACTTCACAGCCACTCAGCCTTTGATTGATAAGGAAAATGCAATTTATATAAACACACTGTCCGTTCTCCCAACCTTCAAGCAGCTGTTTAGTATCAGTCATGCTCGGCTGCCGTTAGAAGAGATACAGGAATCTTCAAAATCTTCAGTTTACCACCATCCCAGAAACACAGGCTCAAAAGCAGCATTGCCAATAGATTTTCATGTCCTGTAAATCTTCCAGTAACCAAAACGGAGGAAGAGCAAAAAAACTGTCCTACCAAATGCTTCTTCCATCTGGTCTGAGGGAGTATCACGGATTTCACTTATTAAAAAAAGGAAATGTGTTTGGCTATGGAGTTGGTCGAAGGTCATCATAAAAGTCACTCGAATGATTTGCAAAAAAATTTGTACCAGCCCAAATCAGAATGGAATGAAAATGAAGGATGGGTGCAGCCCCCAGCAGAGGGAGATCCCAGAGGGATCCAAGTGCAACCTGATCTCCTCAAACGCACGCTGCTTCCGTCTTCCGAGTTTAATATCATTGATTCAAATATCCTCAATTCAAAACCCTGGCTGACCACCACGTTAGATGGGAGACTCATAAACTTTAAGAGTAATATACCCACACACCCGCAGGCAACCAGCACCAAGTAAAACTCTCAACCGCCCGGTCTTTGCTTGTACTTCTGCAAAGCAAGAAAGGTCTGAGGGGTCCCCACGCTCCACATGAAACCCAGTAAACCTCATCAACAGAGAACGCTAACGAATGTGCCCACGGGGCAAAAGATAAATGTCACTTAAAAACAAAGCAAGAGAATTCTTTCTGGACTTATCCCACAGCTTTCTTTCCTATCATGTGCAGGAGTGCCGGCAGCTTATTGAAACAGCAGCAACCGGTGCTGGATCAAGAAATGCAGATTTGTCACTAAAAGCAAGAGCCTGCACACACTCGAGTCAACAAACTGAAAAGCTTCTTCAGCTGTAACTGAATCAGGAATTGGGACAGATCACTCAAAAAGCTCTTCAAGCTCTCGCATTGCCCTCATACTCCAAGACCCAGCTTATTTTTCTAGGTAATTCTGACGTGCTAAACAGACCTCTGCTAAGTTAATTGAAGTATCTCTAACCTAAACCTCTTTGGGTTAATTTGCAGCCCCCTCTCAGCTGCCTCACAGAGCCCCAGAGAGTATCATCCTCTCCCAGCACCACTTGCCATGGCTTTGATAGCTGCAGTCCTAACACGAGGGTCCTGGTCATTAAAATGATCTCCTATGATCTTCTGGACATCTTTGGCAGCCTGGCTTTCGACTTCTTTCGCAGCACCTTTTTCCACCGGTCCAAGACAGCCGATTAACTGAAGACACTTGTTTCTTACTCCATGGGAAGAATCTGTCAGGTGCTGTGGAAGAGAAGAACAGGTATAACCGGATTCTTACAGTTCTCTCACCCCTTCAAAACAACTAATGGCACAAAGATTCCTGGCAGTTAATTACTATTGTAACAGTCACTTAAGAAAAATTAAAATAATTTAAACGCTGGCTGCGTATTTCTTTCCTGTGGCAGCGATAACATTTTCCTGCCCCGGGGAGGCCGCCTTACCTTGCACGCTACCTCCACCAGTCTCATCCTGACCGACGGATTCTCTGTGAGTTTTGTGCCGATCACCAACAGGGTGTCCAGCAGCTGAGCGAGGACTTGGTGAGACTCTGCAAAACAAAGCAACGAAAGGCCACGTCCCTCCGCGCTGAGCTCCCCACCAGCTGCAGACTCGCAGGCTCAGGTGGGTGAGGCCGCCTTACCTTGCACGCTACCTCCACCAGTCTCATCCTGACCGACGGATTCTCTGTGAGTTTTGTGCCGATCACCAACAGGGTGTCCAGCAGCTGAGCGAGGACTTGGTGAGACTCTGCAAAACAAAGCAACGAAAGGCCACGTCCCTCCGCGCTGAGCTCCCCACCAGCTGCAGACTCGCAGGCTCAGGTGGGTTGGAAGGTCCTCCTGAAACCTGCTCGAGGTCAGCACGAGCCCAGCTCCCTCAGCTTCTCCTTGTTCATCACCTATTCCAGCCCCCGACCGCCTCAGCGCCCCTCTGCTCAACTCACTCGACCTTCCCATGTTCGCCTGGCACCGGGGAGCCCAAAACTGGATGTGGCCTAACCTGGTGCTGAGTAATGGGGAATAATCTCTGCTCTCAGCTGGGAAGAGCTGGCTACGCTCCTGCCGACACAGCCCAACACACAGCGAACCTTCGCTCCATAACAGCATCCAAAGAGGTGCAGCCAACAGCTCAGTGTCCAAGTGGAAACCAGGAACAAGGGGTGATCCTCAAGGGTCCAAACTGGCACCAAAACTGTTTCATATCTCCATCAGTGACACGGGCACTGGGAGCGAGGGCACTCTCAGCAAGTTTGCCGTCAACACCGAGCTGTGTGGGGCGGCCAACAGGCCGGAGGGAAGGGATGTCATCCCAAGGGGCCTGGACGGGCTGCAGAGGTGGGGCCGTGCCAACCTCATGGGGTTCAACACGGCCAAGGGCAAGGTCCTGGCCCTGGGCTGGAGCAATCCCAAGCACAGACACAGGCTGGGGAATGAAAGGACGGGGAGCAGCCCCACGG